CTACGTGGGGAAATCAACTAAGAGTATAGAGATGCGAGTTTGGGATGTTTCTCAGTGAGGGCTAATAATACAAAAAGCTTATCCAGAAAAAGTTATACTTAACAAGAAGACTGGTTTGACTTTCTAGTTATCTCATTAACAACGTTTAAGAGCAGCTACTTCCATTATTGAGACTTTATCATAGTATAGAATGGTCAGGAGGTCATGGGTTCTGGTTAAGACATTGCCACATGTTATCATCCCTTTACACAACCCTAGGGAAAATACATGTCAAGGTACTATGTGCAGAGCACCGAGTACAGGCTTTTTTCTACCTAAATATCTTATTTAATGCTACAAAGTAATTGATAACCCCATTACCTCAGAGGCTGAGTCACAGAAGTCATAGAACTGTCATTTGGCAGGCACCAAAAATCAAACACACGTTTTCCCTCATACTGTGCTGCCTTACTGAGACACCAGACTGCATGTGTACAAAATAATGCAATTTTTCAACTTTGTGTCTTTTATAGTTCATTGTTTTTGCCTCTTTTTTCCCTGATAGGTCATAAAGTTTCTTGGCGATGAACAGGACCAGATAACATTTGTCACCAGAGCTGTCAGAGTGGTTGACCTCATTACCAACCTGGATATGGCAGCTTTTCAATCCCACAGTGGACTTTCTATCTTCATTTATAGACTTGAGGTATTATACAAGTAATACTTTGCATAGAATTTAATACTCAGAGCCAAACCTAGGAATTGTCGTAATAACCCTAAAGAGCTATTTTACCTCTCTTCTGTTTCTAGAAATCAACTCTGTATCTGCTTGCAGAATTTTTCCATTATAATAGTTTTTAATCCCTGATACATATATATATATATATATTGTTGATTTTCTTATAACCTTTTCTCTTGACTGTAGCATGAAGTAGATTTGTGCCGAAAAGAATGTCCATTTGTGATCAAGCCAAAGATCCAGAGACCCAGTACTACACAAGAAGGAGAGGAAATGGAAACTGATATGGATGGTAATTAAGTTATTAAGTCAGTATTTTGTGCTTGAGATTTTTTGTCATCCCACCCCAGTTTTCATTCTTCCTCGTAAATTCCAAAGTACACAGCTCACTTGAGTATATATTTTCAGCAACAAAAACGTTTTTTCTACGTGAGTGATTTATAAGCTTGTTTTTCACAAAGATAATCAGGAAAGAAAGGTACAAGTTATTTGAAGTAGAGATGAGAAGTAAAGCAGATGCTAGAGCTATGGTGTTAATCTGTTTTATTTCATCACATAATTTTCTTACGTATTTGTTATTGTCTTATTTCTACTAAAATGCAAGGTCCGTGGGATCAGGATATTGTCTTTTTCACTGCTGCAGTGCCTGATAACATCCTGGGTGTTGGAAATATGCTTGGTACAGATATAGAGACTCTACAGTGGGACCTTTCAAAACTTTACCTATTTTGAGAAGAGAAAGGAGAGGTGAAAAGGTTGTCGGGTAGGAAACAATGTCCCAATCTTAAAATCTGAAAGGCTGGGTGCCATGGGTCATGCCTGTAATTCCAGCACTTTGGAAAGCTAAGGCTGCCACAACACTTGAGCCCAGGGCTTTGAGGCCAGCCGGGGCAACATGGCCTGTCTCTACGAAAAATACAAAACAGCCGCTTGTAGTGGTGTGCACCTGTGGTCCCAGCTACTTGGGAGGTTGAGGTAGGAGGATCGCCTGAGCCTGGGATTTTGAGGCTGCAGTGATTTCAAAATGTAAATAGTGGTTTATCACTAATGGAGCTTTAATACATTTTATAAACTGTAAGAAATGATTGTGTATCTTATACTCAGCTATTCAAGTGTATAAAGTAAAAATGAATGCTCACCTACCTACTATAGCTACTTAGTTTGGTATGGTTCTTTCCAGGCTTTTTAATGCATAAATACATGTTGACGTTAAGTATGTAGTTTTTTAGAATGGGAAGATGAGATCATAAACATACTATTCATCTTGCATTGTTCATTCAGTGTTTCATAAACATCCTTCCAGATCGGAATATTGAGTATTAATGTTTTTATGCGTTTTATATTTATTATTAAATATCCTCTTGAAAAGCTGTACTTATCTGTATACTACCAACTAGTAATATATGAAATTGCACATTTTACTTACCACTCTCCCTGTCTTCCCCAATTTGGTAGGTGAGAAATATTGAAGGACTTCTCTGTGATTGTTAATTTGCATATATATATTAATATATGCAACTAGTGATAAATTTTTATTTTGGGGTTCAGTATTCCTGATCTTCATTTTGATATTCATTTCACCTTAATGGAAGAAATTTTCTCAAACAAAATTTTTCTTTTTGTGGTACCTTTTATTCTAGTAAGTTTCTTTATCATAATTTGTACTTTAGTTGCAGATGTGACTATGGAAAGCAGTCCAGGCTCATCCATCTCTATGGAGCACAGGCTGGATGTTGAATTAAGGGCATCAGGTTCCAGCAGCAGCACTAACATCTCTTCTGGCCCCAGCCCTGGTCCCGGTCCCGGTCCCGGCCCCGGCCCCGGCCCTGGCCCCGGTCCCGGCCCCGGCCCCGGCCCTGGCCCCGGCCCCGGCCCTGGTCCCGGTCCCGGCCCCGGCCCCGGCCCCGGCCCTGGCCCCCGTCCTGGTGCGTACACACATAGATGTGCAGTCTTTCACAGTGATAGAGTTATTAAACTATTGAAGAAGGCGGCTTTAGGCAGAACTTAAATGGTACATTTGGAGGTTAGCATCCCATGACTATTCATGCTCCTTCACCATTCTGGTGTTCCATTTTCTTATATTAACATGTCTTTCATAGCATTTTATACTTTTCCAACTATTCACACATTGATTATCAAAACAGCCATGTTGGAGGTCAGATAATATCCCAAATGGGAACTGAGTGAGGTAAAGAAAGTTGAATCTTTTTACTTTGTAATTTTTCTTTTTTACTTTAGACTTTTAACTTTAGTATTGGTTTTGTACCATCTTGGTGATTCATTTTTCCAGTTTCAAAGCTTAATTAAGTATTCTTCCCAACTTTCAGAGACCTCACTTCGAATGTCTTCTAATTTTATTATAGCGTAATTGGTTCTCTTAAAATTTTATTTTATGTGCTTGATCATTGTGGTTTGATGGTGAACTCAGCATAATTCTTTTGTCTTTCTTCATTGCCAGGAGTCCAGTGTATTCCACAACGAGCAGCACTTCTGAAATCCATGTTGAATTTCCTCAAGAAGGCCATCCAAGACCCTGCTTTCTCAGATGGCATACGGCATGGTATTTGATTCCAGATAACTTTTTTTTGAGGACATTTTACTCTCTGAAAGATTGGTTCTTTTCATACTATTCTGGCACCTGTTGTTTTACAAGGCAATCTTTGGTAAAGGCCATGCCATTTCCAATGGCTTTTAGTTGTTTTGTGTCACTTTTCCTATACATGAGAGTTGCTTAGCTATTTTCATAATGATTTACCCTTTTTTTCCCCTTTTCCAGCTTTTGACTCTGTGCTCAATTCCACCTTACTACCCCTCTGACTCACAGTGTTTGTGTTCTTTTTTTTTTTTAAACCCTTGTTAGAAAGCCTATTGCATGGACAAAGAACAAATAATAAAATAGGAGGAGACAACTAGGGGGCATTAGATTAGAATTAACACAGGATTTGAGGACCACCGTGTGATGATACGTAACACATCACTTCATTATCCCCACTCCTCACAGCTTTCCAGATTAATCATAATCATATTCTCATTCATGTTTACTTTTCTCTTAGTGATGGATGGTTCTCTGCCTACCTCCCTGAAACACATCATCAGCAATGCAGAATACTATGGCCCATCACTCTTCCTCTTAGGTAAGTGGAGTTGATAGTTGGCTATACCAAATTGGGATAACCTGGCAGAGCTCTCTCTCTGTGTATTTACTTACTTATTTTTGAGACAGAGTCTCACTCTGTTGACCAGGCTGGAGTGCAGTGATGCGATCTCGGCTCACTGCATCCTCCGCCTCCCAGGTTCAAGTAAATCTCCTGCCTTAGCCTCCCGAGTAGCTGGGATTACAGGCACCTGCCACCACGCCCGGCTAAGTTTTGTATTTTTAGTAGAGACGGGGTTTTGCCACATTGGCCAGACTGGTCTTGATTTCCTGACCTCAAGGATCCACCCGCCTCAGCCTCCCAAAGTGCTGGGGCGTGAGCTACTGTGCCCGGTCTCTCTTTGTTTTATATCCTTGCAGGATTTTACTATTCACATCTGTCTTCTGTCCAGGTAGGTGTCTGTCTTACTGGTGATGAAATAAAGAAAAGTCAGAATTCGGTTTTAAGTAAATACACATTTTCTGAATGCCAAATATACCTTCTATAAGTAGTACATTTGTAATAAGTAGCATTATCATACATTTGGCTTATCTATGGTGTACTTGCATTTCAAGTGTGATTTTAAAAAACATGTCTTTGGCCGGGCGCGGTGGCTCAAGCCTGTAATCCCAGCACTTTGGGAGGCCGAGGCGGGTGGATCACGAGGTCAAGAGATCGAGACCATCCTGGTCAACATGGTGAAACCCCGTCTCTACTAAAAATACAAAAAATCAGCTGGGCATGGTGGCGCGTGCCTGTAATCCCAGCTACTCAGGAGGCTGAGGCAGGAGAATTGCCTGAACCCAGGAGGCGGAGGTTGCGGTGAGCCGAGATCGCGCCATTGCACTCCAGCCTGGGCAACAAGAGCGAAACTCCGTCTCAAAAAAAAAAAAAAAAAAAAAAAAAAAAAAAAAAAAAAAAAAAAAAAAAAAAAAAAAAAAAAAAAAATCTTTATTCAGTGGTTAGTACCTAACTGTGGTCCGAGAAATCCAGTGGGAATAGTTTCCATTTTCAGAGTCGAATGTCAGATCTGCAAACTGTAGTATAGATAATTGTTTTGCACTATGGAAAATGCTGCTTTGGAGGCTCTGGGTACGTAGTAGTCATTTATGGAAACACCTGCATTTTGACATCGGCATTGTGAATATTGTTGTTAAATTCTCAGTTTTATTAATAGGCACTTACTGAGTACCATAGTTATTTCAGGCAGTATGCTAAATACGTAGACTTCTAGAATTCTTAAAACTCTAAAGGAATTTAGTAGGAGATGTGGAAATAGGGAAAATCTCCCGTAGCAAGCATTGTGTTTTAAAGTTTGGGGTGTGGAGGAGACTAATTTTGGCTACTACAATTTAGATACTTCTTTGCCTCCATGCTGAAGAAATTTAGGGTTTTTGTATGTTAGCCTTGTAGTCTTTGATCTTGCAAAATTCACTTATTATTACATATTTGTTTTGTTAGGATATTCTACATAATCTTGTCATCTGCAAATGCAGTTTTTACTTCTTTCTTTATGGTCTTTGTGCCCTTTTTTGTCTTGATAACATTAGCAAAGATTTCCGATGCAATGCTGGATAGAAATGAGAATGGGCCTCTTTGCTTTGTTCCTGAACATAGAAGGAAAAGCATTTAATATTTTACCGTTAAGAATGAGGTTAACAGAGGTTTTGTGTTGACGGTTTTGTTTATTTTATCAGGTTAAAGAAGTTTTCTTGTGGTATACCACTCCACCACGCTGTGTAAAAGCTCCCTGCCAAGGTTAGGTTCAGATGGCAAAATTCAAACAATAGTTCTTTGGTATGATTTATTTTTTTTAACAATTTGTTTCACAGGTGGGGAAGTCTCAAGGACAGGGGCAAGGAGAATGGCTCTCTCTTCTGGGAGAAGGTCCAGAACAGAGAGAGAAAGAAAAGGACAGACATTTTTGAATAACTGGGAAGCTTAAAAGAGGCAGCAGTTGCCATTGACAGGGATATTATTTAAAAGAGAGGCAGCAAGAGGACATATATGCTTTGGTGCTGGGGTTGATGGTGAGGAGCAGGTGAGCCCCATGAGGATGATGCCAGAAGTGAGGGACACAGGCAGGAAATGAGACTTAGAGCACTAAATCAAAGGTCAGTGAAGGTCCAGCTTCCTTCCCTATGGTTTTCTTAATTCATCCCTGACATTTAAGTTAGCATAGCAACTTCCCATGTTTCCTGTAGATCCACTTGTACTTGAGAGAGACCAAATCTGCAAAGCCAACGCAAAATAATTATACTAGCCATTGTTATTTTAGCTCCCTCATTGATAGTACAGGGCCTTTCACTCCAGGCAGAAGGAGATGGCCCAGGAAAGACATCAGGGATATGTATGTCTGAGAACTTCTTGGAGTATTTTAATAATATAATTGGCTATTTGGATTTGTTTTATTTGTTGAACTATTCTGGATACCTTTTCTGTATTATTGCTCTTGCAGCACTTTTCTGTATTATTGATCATGCAACAGGAGGTCCCTTTAAGGCACAAGGACTACCTTGAAATGCCAGTAGGTAGTTTCATGCCAATCTGTTATTGACTCTCAATAGTAACTAAATTGCTTTGTCCCTCATTGAAGTCTTCTAAGACTTGAACTCTTTGCTTAATGTGGTCTGCCAGGAGTTAAAACATGTCTGGGTAACCTCTATGAGTTGAGCCTGTGTTACAGAATTGGAAATATCTAAACTTGTGCCCATTACACCAAAGATTCTGATGAGGCCCAGAATAGGTAAAAAGTGCTCCCTTTTGTGGTAAGACTTAATAAAACAGCTAGATTTTCTAGTTGAATTTGAGATGCTCTGGGCACTAAATGTCCATAGTACACAGGTCAGCTTGTATGGATAGAAGGGAACAAGATAGCTGAATAGAATGTATAACCCTGCCAAGCAGGAGTTGTGACACAGAAGAATCAGTAGCCCAGGATTTTGGAAGGTGGAGGTTCTAGGGGGCAAATTTATATCAGGGTGGACATTCGAGGATAAAATAGTCTCAACAAGGGGGCATCATTTTATGTACTATCAGTTGGTGGCAGAGGCTAGGAAAGACATGAAATCCATAAGGGGGAATCTGATGAGGAAACACCCAGTGAGGTCACGACATCCTACTTATAATTTCACACTCAAACCCACTAAATAAAATATTCTGACTCCGTCTCTCTCACGTGTCCAACCTCTGGCTCTTTTATGCCACATTTAGCCACCTGTAATTAACTTCCCCAATTCCCCTCTTTTCTTTCTCACCTCCTGCCTTACCCCTCATGTTATCTGTTGGGGTCTGTTTGTAGCCGATGCTAACATCATCATGCTTATGATTGACCACTTAACCAGAGAGTGTAGCAAGTAGTCAATATGAGTATTGAAATCTTCCAAGGGAGCAAGATTTAGTTTTATAAGTAGTTGCCTGGGCTAGGGCACTTTTTAATATTGCTGGAGGTTTAGTATGTAGGTGGCATTCTCTGTTACTATTATATAGATAATATCTATCAGGTTGAGTGAGGGAAGCAGGAAATACAGGTAGTGACTGGAATAGTGAAAGTGGAGTATGGGCATGCTTGTTAGGGTTGATGGGGTGGTGGAGTTATGATGGGTCAGATGAGGGCAGTTACAAGGGCAGTTAACATCTTGAGGGTGTCAGCATCAAGGCTGGGACTGTCAGTTGTGCTGAAATCATCATCTAGGATGCTGTGGTATGCTGAATAAGTAGAAGCCCTGGGATCGCATTTGAGAAATTATTATAAAAGTAACAAGATCAGCATCCCTCTGCTTACAGAGTTTTAGAATAATTTCAGATAGGGAAGCTAGGGAGTGATTACACCCAAACAACTGGGATCACAGCATGGGCAGAAAGGAACCCAAGAAGTTTGACATTGAGCTGGAGTAGTAGTATCCCAAACCCAGACCATGAGCCAAATGAGGTAGAGACAGACCAACCAGAGCCAGAATATTCCACGAAGATATTTTCAGGCCTGTGGTGCACAGACTTTGGCATGCTGAAAGTGCCAGTTTATTATGGAAGTCACAGCCATTGCCATCCCATATCCTGCAATAGCCTCCCATTCAATACCTCTGTAATAAGGTGGATCCAGAACTAGCTTCCTGTCTAAGAATGTTGGTACTAGGAACTAACTTAAGATTTTCTTTTCCTCTTTGGAAGAACCATACAGTTGTATTTGTGGGCCCAGGCAGACACCAAGACCTTCATTTCCTACGAAGAGAGATCTCTAGCTAGCAATCCTTTAAAGCCATCATATTAGGAAAGGACTTTGGCAGAGACCTTCTGTGTAGTCTTGGAGGGTGAGGGCCCTCAATTTTCTGTGGGTCCTATTCTGTTTCAGTGTAGTTGCCTGTTCACCATGGATTGCACCAAAATCAAATGAGGAGAAGGTGTTAAGTGAGGGGGATTCTGTTTGGCTATTATAGACTCATAGATGGAAAATGTCTTGTTTTGTAAGTTTAATTGAATAAGCCATTATGTCTCTGTTGGGCCTGCTGTCTGTAAACGGTTAAACAAATGGGCTGGGCACTGACTCACACCTATAATCCCAGCACTTTGGGATGCTGAGACAGGCAGATTGCTTGAGCCCAGGAGTTTGAGACTAGCTTGGGCAACATGGTGAAATCCTGTCTGTACAAAAAAAATTAAAAAGTTAGCGGGGGCATGGTGGTGCGCTACTCAAGAAGCTGAGGTGGGAGGATCACTTGAGCCCACGAGGTTAAGGCTCCAGTGAGCTATAATTGTGCCACTGGACTCCAGCCTGGGGAACAGCGTGAGAAATTGTCTCAAAAAAAAGGAAACTCCAAGGTGATACCTTGTTTTAAAAGGCCCATGCCCAGACTGAATGAGCAGTAAAGCATGTACCCTGGTCAGAGTCATTGTTACAGGAAGCCCAAAGGGAACTAAC